GGTGCCTAAAGTGGATTTGCACCTTTGAACGGCGCTTAAATTATCAGTAATAATATTAATAGGCAAAAGAAAGAAACATTAAGACTTTGGTAGTAAATACACTTCGTGTTTATTTACAATCATTTTATTATTGAAACGTTCCAAGTGTCTGTGGCAGTGCAGTATGCGTGGTCCTACCAATAGGCCTACCAGTACCATGTGTCTCGCCACTGTATAAGCGCTTGGCGAACAGCTTTAGCTTGTCTGCGCACTGCTGAAGCTCGTTTACATTTCGATAACATCTCATTCGAATGCACGAGTAGACCACTAACATTCCGGTTGCAAGTAACTGAAGTATGTAGACTACGCCTCAATAGATGGGAATAATTATATATCATTTAGATTGCTAACGAGTTACACTTTCTTACGCATCACTGTGTCTGTGACACCGAGTCTGATGGCCAAAGAACGTGTTACGAGCGTCTATATAAACAGTCATTCAGTTCCCAGTAAATGCGCGAAGGCAAAGTTTGCCATGTTTACAGCAGAGAATATTTACAACTGTTTACAACCAGAGCATATAAATCAACATTGGTTTATATGCTCTGTTTTAGAACGTTGATTTATATGCTCTGTTACAAGGTGGATATATGTTTCCATGAAACCGACTGATCGCGTGCACCCTTGCACTTCGCGCGGTGCGCGCCACCTACCGGTTCGCCTTGAACATTATCATCCACAGGCCGCGCGCGCGTGCGTGCGTATATTATAATTATTATATAATGTGTGTCACTGTGTATTTGTGTGTGTGTGTGTGTGTGTGTGTGTGTGTGTGTGTGTGTGTGTGTGTGTGTGTGTGTGTGTGTGTCGTGTGTCGTGTGGTGGCGGTGGTCGGGTGGCGGTGTGTGTGTTTTGTGTGTGTGTTTTGTGTGTGTGTTGTGTGTGCGGTGCGTGCGTGCGTGCGTGCGTGCGTGCGTTGGCGTGCGTGCGTGGCGTGCGTGCGTGCGTGCGTCGCGTGTGCGGTGTGTGTGTGTGTGTGTTGGGACGCGGATACCTGCTATAATTCTGTGTGTTCTCTATTCTAATAAAAGCAACCTGCGTGAATTCACTGACTGTGACATTCACTTGATTTATAAAAATTATTATAGCGTATATATGTAATTTTCCAGTGCGGTAGGGTTTTGTTATTTTGTCATTTTGTTATTTCATTATTTTTTTAATGTTTAACCTGTTTACTTTATTCTGACTCTAAATAGGCCCCTATATATTATTCTTGACACACAGAATATATTTATTCTTGACCAGTTGCGCAACTGTCCAACAACAACCCACCGCAGTTTTACTTTTAACGGTTTATTATGATAAAATATCAACTTGCGCGATTTTCATCAGATGCAATTATATGATAAAATCAGCACATTATTCAGCACTGTACAGCAACGCATATTATCGCAAGTATTTCTCGTTGGTCGCCATATAAGGAATTTTTACAGTTTAATGTCATACGCAACAGTTTGCCGAGCTTGCTTTATAATATTAGCGATCGGTTTTCCAGTAAATTGTGCTAGCTGCTTGACGTCGCTGTTTGGTTTCAGATGAAACGAGACTTTAATTTTACTAAGTTGTATCTGTGAGCGTCGGAAGTCAGAAATATGTCAAGAATATAATTATATTCATGATAATAATTCATTGGCATTCAGCCATATAAAATGTAGGTGCGACCTGGCAAGTATCAAGAAATAGCAGAGTTTAATGTTATCTTTGTAGTATATTATGTAGAACACGTAATCATGCTGCCGAGAAAAAGCTTCAACCTGAATTGAAACATTATATATATATAATACATTGATGTTAAAAAAATGTATTGTACAACGATAATTTGCAAGTTATGCGAATGCAATTAAGTAATTTCTACTTAAGCAATTTATAACAAATCCACGAAAACTGCAATTCATTCACTCTGCTAAAGCAAGTCGCGTGAGGGTAGCTACTTTACTTTGGCCCCACGTGCCTTCAACAGTAGTGTCCGGGCTGCGGGCTGTATCAAAAACTCCTGCGCGTCTTCTGGCTTGGCGTAGGAATTTCAGTCATGCTCTGAATCTCCGTACCAAACATTCATGGGTTGTTTCGATATGTCGCACTTGTTGTACCTAGGAGTATAGCATAATTAATGCACTGTTCAAGCGTCTCGTGCATTTTTAAACTCATTACAATGTTATACATGCCATCTCAAATGCTGTTTAAACGCCTTTCTTCGCTGGCCTCATTTTTTAATGGGTTTCAAATGAAAGTAATCCGCAGTAATATTTTACTCAACATGAGCAACAGGTCTACAATATAATGATCCTTTTTGTACAAGAATTCTGTTTGTAGAGTAAGAAACTTATGGCTAGCCGTCTTTTTAGATGCACGAGCGCAAACATTCATTGAAACTTATAAGCGCAACATGAAAATATTTCACACTCTCTCAAGCGTACACCTTGTTCGTCATCATCTCTCTCAAACATTTCAGATGTCAAAAGGGCGGTGATTATAATATTCGTCTTAATTAATTATCTTTTTTGTTATGGCAAAGAAAGTTGATTATGAGATTAGCTACAACTATAAGCAAATGAATAACGCATAATTTGAATAGTTTTGATTTATATAACTTAGAAGTAAAAGCGACACGCATGCACGGCGCCGCAGCTACACGCAACACAGGGGCTATCACACGCAGACCCCACGCAGCAGCATGCAACGCATGCATACACGCACGCACCGCACGCAAGCACAAACACCACATCACACACCACACAACACACACAACACACACACACATACCCACAGCCACACACAGCTCACACAGCACACATACACACACATACACACACAAACGCACATTACAGCAGCAGAACCACACACATGCCGCCACGGGGTGGCCGACGTGGTCCACATACCACACACACACACACACGCCCCACGCACGACGACACACACAAGAGGCCGACACACACACACACACACACTACACACACACACACACACACACATCCACATACAACACTGGATCTCGAAATTTTACGTTGCTCGTAGCAATGAAGCGTAAATATAAACATCATCTCCTGGTTCCCCCCCCCCCAAAAATCGCGGATCTTCTAAAAACAAAAAAGACACCTAAATACGTCGAAAAAAACCGCGCGATTATAATAATCCCTCGTCAGTCGCCTGCAGATGATCCCACGGCAGTGATGTCGACCTGTAATGCAGTTCGGGCGATATCTCCCGGACTGATGAGATTCGGCGTGCCCTGCACCGCGGCCCCGCGCGTCAGCAGCCGCATAAGGCGGTCGTAGCAGCAGTGCTGGCGACGCGAGCGTGCTGCTGTGCTCACTAGCAGGCTGCGAATGGCGTAGTGAGCTCCCGGCTTGTAGCACGGACAGTCCGTCCTCGTTGACGCCGGGACGCGTCGCGCTCACTGGTGTGTCTGGGCCTGGCGATAACACAGCGGCACGGTCGTGCATGAGAGAAGGGTGAGTGGGGAGTGAGGGAGTGGGGAGTGAGAGGGAGGGATAGGGGGAAGTGAGGGAGGTGAGAGTGAGGCGAGAGGAGGGGAGTGAGAGGAGGAGTGAGGGAGTGAGAGGCAAACAGGGGGAGAGAGAGGGGAGGAAGAGGGGGAGAGGGAGATAGAGAGAGAGGAAGATAAAAAGAGAGAGTGGAAGTGAGGGAGAGAGTGGGAGAGTTAAAGAGAGATGAGAGGGGGAACGTGCGCGCTAGAGAGAAAGAGAGTCCGAAAGAAAAGACACTTGCGTGCGGCAGAGAGAGGGAGAGGGCATGAAAGAAGGCGAAAGCGAGAGCGAGAGAGAGAGGGAGATGGAGAGCGAGAGAGACAGACAGAGGAAAAGAGAGCGCGCGAAAGAGAGAGAGAGAGAAATGGCGAGAAAAAAGAGAGAGAACGAGACAAATAGAGAGAGGGAGAATGAGAGATAGAAGCGAAAGAAATGCCATATAACGAATTCGAACGCAATTCACAACCAAGTAATCGGAACATCGAACCACAGTAACGAGTTACTGCATGGAATTCATTCGCGTCGCGAGTTCACGCACCCGTGAAGTGTCGTCTCTCTCTACCTTACACACATATATATATATATATATATTATATATATGTATATATATATATATATATACATATAATATATATATATATATAATATATATATATATTATATATTATTTATAATACACCTACCTTATTGTCGTCCCACACCTTGTCGTCGTATGGCAGGTTGATGGGGTAGAAGCACGGGCAGGCGGGTAGATCTACAAGCTTCTCGACGTACGACTGCAGGAACGTGTTGCTGCAGTTCATCCACGTCTCACACGCGTCAATGTCTGCGGCAGCAATTCACGCGCGTGAGCCACCGGGGCGCGTCTGAATCACTCACTATCTGTCTGTTAGCACGGAGAAAGAGGAACGGCGGGAGCGCGGGAGAGCGGAGGGGGGGGGGAACACGGGAAGAGGAAGATATGATATCATATAGTATATTATATGTATGTAAATATGTAAGTAAACATATATATATATTATGTGTGTCGTGTGTATGTGTGTGTGTGTGTGTGTGTGTGCTGTGTTGTGTGTGTGTGTGTGTGTGGTGTGTGTGTGTGTGTGTGTAATACGCGCGCGCGGCGTGTACGTGCGTGTGTGTGTTGTAGCGCGCGGCAAGTTGTTGGTGCGTGATGTGTGTGCGTGAATGTGTGGTACGTGTATATATATATATATCCATATTATATATCAGATATATCATAAA